TGTGCAGTATGTGCAGTACATGATGATTACATGCATAGAAAAGAAAAGAATATTACAGGAGAAAATCATTAACAATTTTGATCCCATGTAGCTTTTAATCATTATTCACATTAAAATATACTTATTATAATACAAGATATATTAGCTATAACATTACTATCAGTTTCCTGTAAGTCATGCTACTGATAACTGAATAAACTGATAGTCTGATAAGCAACTTGCTGAGCTTGCAATAATAGAGGTGTTAGATATTAACCCCACATGAAGGTAGGTAGCTGCAGTCACACAGCTATAATCCATTGATTAAGATAATAGTCCAAATCCCTATATTTAAAATAAACGGTTTAATTTAAAGTAATAATTAAGGGTTTGGGCTTTACAATTACACATAACATACCAAATAGCACTTTAGTTTTATTTTGTAAGCAAAATCATCATTATTAAAACCATTAATCATTAATGCACCATGCTTAGTAGTGCTGGTGTGCCAAATTAAGAACAACTAATTACTCACAATGCAAACTCTTGACACACATTCGATGACAATTGTTCATAACAATGTCTCTGTGTTCCAACCATTAACGACAAGCTATGAACAGATTCATTGTATTAACTCAAAGGGAACATATCTGAGTCATGCACACAAAGGTAAGGGTGCTTTTATGCTATATACTATAGCATAAAAGTAAGTACTTTCCCTTGTTTTTATACCTTAATGTAAAAAGACAACTGACACAGAAAGAAAAACAGTAAAAGATCACCTTATGTTATTAACATGTCGCAAATCACTCATCAAAATCTACTATTACTATGTATTTACTATATGATTGGCAAATACGATAGGCGAGTAGCCAAGTACTGACTCAGAGAAAAATGATGTCATGCTATAACTAATTTGAACATAAGATTACAGCTAAAGCTAGATCTATCCTTATCTATATAGCCCCAACAGCTGTATCAACAATAGACTCAGCTACACAGTTGTATGGCAACCACAGAGAATCCTTAATAGTCACAACTGGGCCAGGGATAGTATAAAATCCATATAAATCAATCATCATACAAGCCTATTGACAAAATAGCATTTCTTGCCAATCAAAACATTGGGTGGTTACTATTAACCACTAGACTAAACTAGACTAATCTAGTACACACCATGTCACACCTACACAAGTTCTGGATACATGGACTTGTACAAAAAAGATATAAATCATACAAGCCTAGAATATACAGCCAAGAATTAGCATCTCTGATACAGGCCACTACCTAAAATCATTGATTCAAGCCTGTTGATACAGCCCTGACTGGTATCAATGTTGAATCATGTCTGTTGCTCTGGCTGAATCAGGGTCGTACAAACTCCAGCATGGTTGTATCATGGATTATCATCATGATTGTATCATACTAGACTCATTGCTTTGCAGGCTGCCCAAAATCCATGATACAGGAATGTATCAGGCTGATCCTGACTGATATCAGTTACAATTCAAATTAAAATTCTTGGCTATGTATATTCATAAAATAAAATGCCCCTGATATTTGATTTATGTATGCACCCAATTCCCAATTCCCAATTGTTTCTTTCATATTAACATTTTAAGAATTAAGCTATGTGGCCAGTTCTAATCAATTCTAATCAAAACCAAATTTGCCTAGAACATTTCTGGGTAAATCTATGGGTCACATAATCAATAGAGTTATGAGAATGATGAATATAATAGGCTGTTTAACCTTTCTATGTACAATCTATTGTCCCATTGATTGAGTGTGTACCCTATTGGGAGATAACAAGGGGTCATACTGGGAATATTCTCATGACATAAATAACATACTCACTATGGGAAAGAGGAAATAAATCAGTCCCTTAGTTTACTATAATAACTATTTTTAGCTATATCAATCATATCAAATGGAGCGACTGCATAATTTAACCATATGTAAGCACAACTTAGTCATGCAATTTAGTCATGACCTACTTATTTATGATTAAGGGCATGAGTATGTGCGTGTGACAGGATAATAAGTGCATGTACATGTAAGTGTGTGTACCAGTTACTGTCGAGTACCTTTTGCCAAACATAACGGTAATGTAAAGTAAACAATAAACACGGTAATGCTTTCTATATATATCATAAGATATACAATAATAGTCCGTCAGACTGTCACTGAGTTACACAAACACGCCACAGCAACATCACGCCACTTATGTATATGTAATACAACATAACCTACATCCCTATTACATAAAAACAATAAACTGTACGATGACCTTCCTGTTTACTATTAAACTAATAATGACAAAAATAATTAAATTTTAAAATGTTGTTTTATCAACGCACATAATTCCTACCCAGTACAATTGCATTAGCAATTAGCATAAACATCTAGTAAGTGAGTCCAAAGCTATTTTACACAGCATAATAATATGTTCAAAAAAATATAAAATGGCCACAGCTGGCAAAAATTACATAAATTTTTGGTACAATTTTGCATGTACACTCAATACACAAACAACTCCCAAGCAATAACACGGTACTTTACCAAATCATTTCAAAAATGCTGATACATACTATAATTACATTACGTACTATCACATTGGCTTTTAAAATAAACTATTAAACATAGGCTTGAAATTCAGTTAACTACAACACTGCAACAACACTCAATCAAATAAATTTTTAAAAAGTAATTTACTGCAACCATAAATTTAGCAGAACTGAAAATCACTTTACAACTTCATGAACTTGCTTCAAACATTGATCACTGCCATTTTTCTTAAAATTAGCCACACCTAGGCCAGGGCCAGGGGGCTGGGCCTGGGGGTAGGGCATGCATAAGTATGACCATTACTCTATTCAGTATTTTACTCTAATAATCTATGGTTGACAAAAATTACAAATAATTTTTAAAATCCGTACAAATTTACTTCAAAATTATATAGTTGATTTTTTAAAACCAAGAGTAGCTACTCTTGTTAAAATCTAGTAGCTTCAACTATACCATAAGCAGCACATTCTTTCATTGATAGTTCTGATTGTGGAACTGGTAGATGTACATTCTCATACTGTGGATTAACTGATAATAGTTCTTGCTCTTGTGAACCTGTAATACAATTCATCATAGTAAATCTTATATTAACATACTTTGATCATTCTTACCTTTCCTCTTGCAGTAACACACAGTTAATGTAATAACATTAATCATTAGTGATAGTATGAGGAATACACCCAATACACTAATCAATACTGCTGCATTGATAACAAAATTAATGGTAAAAGTAATTCAAAATATGTTTATTACTTACCACTAGTAACAGGTACTTCATTTTGACTTTCACTTATACTACAATCCTCCATCGTCATGGTAGATCTAACTGTAGATGAAACTGATGAAACTGTAGTTGCTATGTAGCTTGTCAGCATAGTACAAGAGAATATAAGGACTTTATTAATATTAATACCAGTTAATACAGCAGCAGGATTAGTAGTACAGTCCTCCATTGATTCACATGCATACAGTGTTAAGTTATTACCAGCTGGTATGTTAGTAATACACTGAGTGAAGTTCAACTGATCATTACGAGATATATTGTAATACACTGGTTGAACTTCTTCATAATTAGTGATGTGAATATAAATGCTATCAGTTGTACTGCCACTGACAAACAGAAATTGAAGACAAACTTCGTTAAATGTAGAATTAACCAACATTATGTGCTGAAGATTATAAGTACCTTAATAATAATAAAATATTAATAATTATGTTGGTCACTTACTGATTGTTATAGTGTTGCTTTCAAACTTTACTTCATTTTGATAGTACAAGATAATACTAGTATTCAGTATCTCTCTTGACGGAAGATTTATAATAGCAACAAGTAAAATGTTATTATAAGTACTATGATTAATGGATATACTTGTTGATGAATAACAAGAATCATTAACAGTACACAATGTAATATCAACAAGTGGCACTCCAGTACACAACTGATGAGCCTGTAAATGTAAACAAACTTGTGTGGGTGTTGTACGTTAGGCTAACTTACTAATAAAAGGAAATGAAGGTGCCAATAATTGTTCATGTGATATGTATAAAAATCTTGATAAATGATTGAAATTTGTGAACCTATAAAGAAATAATGATAAATCAAAATATGAAGCTTTTTACTTGATTGAAATCCGACAGTTGTATTACTAGTAGATCCATTCCCAGCTTTATTAGTAGTTGTAATGTTGAACAGATATTGTTTATTGGTTGGGTTCATTGGACAGTAAGTATAGTTAGTGATAGAGTCATTAAGGTAGTGTTGATCAGTTCCTACACTGATTATATACTGTACTGTTAGTCCTGGTAGTGTGAATGGAGGATACCAACTGATAAACATACAACAAGAATCTAACTGATATCCTGTTAAATCACTGACACTATCAGGTGGACCTACAAATGCCTATGCTATGATACACTACACAGATCAATATTGACTAACCTTGCACAAAGAGATAAGCAGTTTCAGTGGAATATCCATTATACAGTGTATAGCAGGTAGCGTCAGTTCCATTTGATTTATTTGATGCTGTTAGATTAAATGATACAAATTTTACACCATTGGGTAATTCTACAATTGATTGTGAAGATGGCTGTACCCCTTTAGAGAGAAAATAAAGATTGTTATTTTCAGTCAAGTTGGCAGCACATTCAAAAGTCACAGTATCATTGACATATACATATTGTGTCACTGGTACAATAGTGAAGATACTTGCACCTAAAATTTATAATAATATTTGATGATATTACTAGTGCTGGGCGATAGTGCTACTATCATATCACGATTGATAGTTCTTAAAATTTTAACGATAGTGATACTATCACGATATTAACAATTAATTTTAATATATTTATTTAATGTAACAAAATAGGCAAAAGGATGAAAGGTAGATGAATATTTGAGGTTTTCAGCTAGAAGGACATTTTCTGGATGTAGACAAGCTCTTTTTTTAGTACCTATATTCCCTGCAGTACTATAAATA